ACGCCGCCGCCGCTGCCGCCGCCTCCTTCCACTGCCGCCGCCGCCGTCTCCACCCGCCGTCGCTACTTCCACACTCTCTCGATCCACAGCCCGTGTTCCTGCTCTCTCCATTGCCGGCGGTGGTTGCCTTCGTGCAACTACTGAAGAATAAGAGAAAGATCGAAAGATGAGAGCAAAGAACGAGAGAGAGAAAGGGAAGATAGAAAGAACGTGTGAGAGAGAGGGAGATGGAGAGAGAGAACGTGTGAGAGAGGGAGAGAAAACAAAAAGAAGAAAAATAAATCTCAATTGCCGTGAATGTCTGTTTATATAATTTAGGGTATAAGGGCAAGATAGGGATTAAAAAAAAATTAGGGATGTGGCTCATATATTATTTAAAATTAAGGATTTAATTAAAAGATTGAATTTGGATTTGTCATTTAGTTCAAATTAGGTTTCCTTTGAGGGGCTCATGGCATATTAACCCTAAATTTTAATTCAGCAATAAATATTGATTTTAAATTGCATTAAAATAGAGAGGGTAAAATTGACATTTCATTAATAATGTATAATGGTCATTTTTTGAAAATAATAATGGTAAAAGGGTATTTGCGACAATACATAAATGAGGAAAAACTAGGTTTTTTTGCTGAGACAAGTGTCACAAATTGAAGGGGGTATCTCATATAAGTTTAGAACACAGGATCTCATGGTAGAAACACCCACAAATTTAAGTCGTTATCTATGATTTTTATATAGGGTAAATTACAACCACCCCGATGTATGATCAATTTACGAAAAAACCCCTCTTGTTTGGATAATTAGACTACCTCCCTTAACTATGATTTTTTCTTACACCTCCACCCTTATTGTGTCAAATTCAACATAATCATCTAGATTTCGTGGAATGTGCTCTAGTTTGTAGTCATTTTGTATAAAAATACAGTTTTTGATGCATCACAATCTTATATATATATATATATATATATATATATATATATATATATATATATATATATATATAAGCCAAAAAATACATATTAAGATCATCTTGCTTCAAAATGTGGAGTTCAAATGGGATAAAACGGGTAGAAAAGTGATAATATTCCATATAATCTAGAAGATTCCACTAAAGTTTATAGTTGAGGGGGTGGTTGTAATTACCCAAACAGAGGGGGATTTTCGTAATTTAACCATACCTCATGGGTGGTTGTAATTTACCCTTTTTATATATATTTTTTAATAAATCAAATTTCAAGAATATCTCTGCAATTTATATTTTAATAATTATATTGGTGGTTATAATTATCCAAACACAAGAAGTTTTTCGCAATTTAGAATTACTTCAAAGAGTGGCCGTAAATTACCCATATTCATTTTATCCAAATTTTATGATCACAATTTTTCAATTGAATTATAATGTTAATTTTTGTTTTTTTGAAAGCAATCTTAACAAAAATAAATGTACCTAACAATAACCATAATTACCTTTTGAATTGGTAAAAGTAGCTTCTTAAAGAAAATGATGTTTGGTTACTTTATAATTCAATTGACTCATAAAACAACTGTGTCATATTGTTATAGCCGTTATATTTGATTAACTAATTATTGATCTTTGAAAATCTTACCCAACTTTAATTGAGTAAAACATAAGCATAAAATTCTTGGACATAATAATTTAAAATTTTCAAAAATAATAATTCCCAATTCTCTAAAATAATACTTTTATATAGAGACAAATTGCTATACACCTCTCTACCAATTTTCTTTCAAATAAGGCAAAAATCATTTATTGCATTTTACTAATAGTTCACTAAGCATTTCAGCATTAGTGATTGGACTAAATCATTTATTGCATTTTACTAATAGTTCACTAAGCATTTCAGCATTAGTGATTGGACCAAAATAACCCTATCTTCGTACGCTGCAAGTCACCTTCTATCAAAAGAAACGCTTCTTTCGTCTTTCTCTCCTCTCTCTTCCCCAACTTTCTCTCTCCTTTCTTAAAAACCAATAGCGAACAGGCTACAAGATCTTTTCTTGTGGTTTCGCTCTATATTTATGTAGTTTTGCTAAATGATACACAAAAAAAGTAATTGATTCGAAACCTAATTTTAACGTCGTTGTGCTTCGTGTTAAAAAAATGAGCAAATTTTTCAAAAGCTAGTTCTGATGTCGCCACAATCTATGTTTATTTTACAGATGTTGCTACGAGGCCTTCTAAACATAAATGTAATTTTACAGATATTTATTCTCATCTCCAATATTTAACGTAAATATGTTATCGCTATACTATTATGGACAAAACTCTGTATCAACAACATAATCAACACATAACAATACTGAAATATTCTAAAAAACATACTGAAACATAAACAAACGAACTGTGTTCCTATTATATCAACAGAAAAACACATAAGATAAAATAACACACGAACTTAAATCTAATTTATGTTACCATAACAAATGTATCGCTGAATAATATATGTGGTTGAAAATTTCCAGTCACCAAGCATAAAATATATGTATAATTTAAAAAAAAAAATTGTCAAAATAAAATAAAATAGAACTATATAGAAATATTATTAATGCAAAAGGATTCGATAAATATAATTTGATGAATTACGGAATTCCAAGAATTAGTAATGTTAATAGAATTGAGGAAAAATTGATGTGTATTCTTCTCCATAGGAGGCACTATTTATACACGTAGAGAGAAAGCTATACAAGGAAATTACCAATTACAATGAAATCAAATCTCCTAACTTATGTAAAGTATATCAAATCAAATCCCTAACTTATGTAAAGTATATCAAATCAAATCCCTTACTTATTTCCTAAGGATATACATTAACAGCCCCCCTCAACCTCAAGGAGGGTGACAAACCAACTTGAGGTTGTAGACCAAATCACGATGACTCAGAAAATCCTTCAATTCTTGAATTCCACTAGGATCATCACCAGTTATGATCATATCATCCACATAAAAGAGGAGGAAGATGGAGCCTTTGTCAGTACGACGGAGAAATAAGGCAGAATCATAACAACTGGCAGAGTAACCCATATGAGATATAGTGAAACTGTGCGCAGAACCTTCTCGGGGCGCGTGAGGGTGCGTGCGGTCTCCGATGGCAGTCTGATTTTCACCGATGAGTAGATCGTTTAATGACGATCTTGGTGGTATGATCAGAATCTGAATCGGAGCGATGACGCACGCAGAATAGTGGTTTTATGGTGTTTCGGCGGAAGCGAGAAACGAAGAAGATGAAAACACCACAGGAAAACCAAAAATTGCTAGAAGATCAGAGATTGGCTCTGATACCATGTTAATAGAATTGACGGAAAAATTGATGTGTATTCTTCTCCATAGGAGGCACTATTTATACACGTAGAGAGAAAGCTATACAAGGAAATTCCCAATTACAATGAAATCAATTCTCTTAACTTATGTAAAGTATATCAAATCAAATCCCTAACTTATGTAAAGTATATCAAATCAAATCCCTAACTTATTTCTTAAGAATATCCATTAACAAGTAAATAATGAAAGGGTAAAAATGTAAAATAGCTTTCCCCTTCCGGTGTCATTCCTTTTTTATTTGGGGGCTGTGTTGTGGGCCCCATTCCCACTTTGCCCAGATTTTATACCCTTCTTGGTATTTGGGGTTGTACAATCATTTATTTTTTTTTTTTTTTAATACATTTTTTTTTTCTAAATATATTTTTTTTTTTCGGAATTCATTTTTTAAATAGTATCCATGTTAAAAAGGGTGAATTTCCGAACCCTTTTTGGGGGGGGGGGGGGGGGGCATTGAAGTTTTTTGAACAATTTTATTTTTTTAAATAAAAAACTAATTTCAATGTGGCTCTAATATCTAAAAACGGAAATCGGATTCAGAAATTGGAATAGAAAAAGTTGTCCCCTTATTGGAATGGACTGAAATTAGAAATTCGAATTTTCATTCACCAATAATAACCAATAATAATATAGATCTTATAATTGTAATTTTTTGGGAAAAAAAATTGAGTTTTTAGAAAATTAAAATTGGATGAAAAATTTCAATCTCAAGTCTCATATATAAATCCAATTACGATATGAAAAAGTTTGAAAATCTTGAAAAATCAGAATTTTCAAAATTTAAAATGAAAAAAATTCTTCCACATTATTTTCTTTTTTTATCGGAATCAAAAAAATTTGTTCTATTTTCTACCCCTACAACTAGGACCGATTGATAATTCAGCTAGACCTAACCGAAGTCCGATGATTCGACCAGATTATATTTGAAATTACAGGCGTTTTTGAAAACTGAAATGATTTGTGCAGGCACATATTAAACAGTCAGGCACATTTTTTACCATTCTTCAAAAAACAAAAAGTGAAAAAACTCAAAAACTCTCTCAACCTTTCGATTTTCTTTCGCAAAGCCCGTGCAAATCGTCAACAGATCGGAGATAATTTTTACGTTTTTACGATCCTCTTGTTATGTAGATTACGAATCCGAAAAAAAAAACGGAAAAAATCGGACTTTGGCCTGCTCGTGTGAATTTACACGAGCGCATCCACTGCGCTCGTGTAAATCCACACGAGCAGGCCAAAGTTAATTTTTCCTTTTAATTGCTCGTGTAAAAACACACGAGCGGTTGAAAAGGGCTCGTGTGATTTCACACGAACGCTTTTCAACCGCTCGCGTGTTTTTACACGAGGATTTTTAATTTTTTTTTTTTTTGTATAAATTTATTTTTTGAATTATAAGATGCTCGTGCAAAAACATGCGAGCA